TTCCCTCCGGAGGATGAGTGGCCTGGAGCTTTGAGGGGCTCAGCAAAGCCTCGGGAGTCTCCCAGGCGTGTCCCAGAGTGGTTCTCTGCTGTTGGTGTTTGACTTTTGGAGGTGACTGGTGGGGACGAGCGTTGCTGAGCACGGCTTAGCTGGGTTTGTTGGGAAGTGTGGATGTGTGAGCAGAAACCGGCGGTTCCATGAGCGTGTGGGATGGGCTGCCCTTGGCTCTGTGTGCTGGATGGAGCCTGCTGAGGTGAAGCTGCACCAGGAGGTTTGGTCCTGGCTTTCCAGCTCTTTAAATCCTCTCTGGAGCAGACCTAGGCCACTGCCACAGTGCCACAGCTGCCACTGCAGCAGCACATCCCTCTACAACAAATCCAAGCATCCTGCAGCTGTCCACAGCCCTGGATGTCCTGGAATGAGAGCCAAAAAGGGAAACCTCCCAGATGTCTGTGAAGAACATGTGGGTGTGAGGCTGGTGAGCCCAGCCCTGGACTCAGGTGACTCGGAAGTATGTGAAACACCTTTGATTTTAGCTGTGTAATTACACGGGTTGGAAAACCCTTGGGAAGGGAAGTGCCTGGGGAAGGAGGAATGTTTGGCCCTGGAGAGAGCTGAGGGCTGGTGCCTGGCGCCGTGGCAGTGCTGGAGGAGATGCCAGAGGCTGGGCAGGGCTGTCTCTGCCTGCTCTACCTGGAGCCTGGGAGGAGGGATCCCTCCGGCAGCCCAGCTGTGTGTCTGCTGCTCCGTGCTTTGCTCATTCCCGGTGTATTTCACAGGCAGAAACCGATGTCAGGGCTCTGTGGAAGAGGCTGAATATCCTGTGTGAGCAGCTCAGGTGGCTTGGAGCAAGGTAACCCGCAGCAAAGCTGCATCCATATCAAAATACCTGTGTGCACCTTGCGGAACACGGCTGCTCTGTGCCTGGCTGCTCCGTGGCGCTTGGCTGCCCGGCCTGTGCCGTGTCCCCAGGCTGGCTCCAGCACCACCCCTCACTCCCTTCCTGCCCTGGGGGCCCCTTGGCCACCACAGGGGGTTTTCTTTGTGGCCATGCTCGTTGGAGAAGCTGTTGGAAAAGCGTGGGGAGAGGTGATGCGGTGTTGGGGAAAAAGGTGTTGCTGGAAACGCAGGCAGAGGATGAGGAAGGTGCTGGTGAGGCCGATGGCAGCGTGAGGTGCCAGGTTAGTGGCTCGCAGGACAGGGAGATAATCATCCAGGGCTCCAGTGGTGGGACAGGAGGTGCTTAAAGCACTCCAGAAGGGCTGGGAGGAAGCAGGAATGCTGGGTTCCGCTTCGGAGGGCATCAAAAGGGCAGATGGATAATGTCTCCCCATGCTGGAAGGCTCTGGAGGAGGCTGTGGTATCTGGGTGTTATCTGGCACGGGGAGAGGTCCCAGAACAAAAACCAGGGGGAGGCTGTGGAGGAAGGCCTTTATCTCAGCAGAAACAGCAGATAAGAATTTTCTAAAAAATAAATTCCAAACTCAGAGCTGCAAAGTGGTGTCCAAAGGAAAGCAGGAAGGAGAAGGAGTCCAAGTGCTGGGATTTTCCCAGGCAGGCATGCTTTCCCAGGCCTAGGTGCACAGGGAATTCAGCTCCCTGGAGAGAGGGGAGCACCCCTGTTGCCTGGAAAATAGAATAGATCTTCCCAACATCGTTAGAGTGGATATGGAAGCAAACCTTTACTTGAAAGCTTTCAGGTACACAATATGGCAAAAAATCACTCATGGTAGAGCAACTCTACAATTTTTATAAAGTTAGTCGATTAGTATATTTATCATATACTCTCCAATTAAAAGGTTAGTTGGTTAGGTAGTAATTCCTGGGTCCTGCCACACTGGAAACAGTCCAGAGGCTTTTGCTCCACTTTTGTTTTGTCTGGTCCAGATTCTGTTTGGAAAACAGGACATCCTTGTAGTCATTTCTCTTCTTGGAATAAGACTAAACAGTATTTTGGGAAAGAGTTTCTAGGGTTAGCTTATTGTTCCTAAATGTAGAGAGGAAAGATAGGAAAGGTACTAGAAGTTACAGCCATGCATTAACAATCTACAAAGCTACAAATACATGAAAAATAATAAAAGCTAAAAATCTTGGGCATCACCCCAAGCCCCCCTCCCTGGTTTAGCTGGGAGGCTGAAGGCATTAGGGCAGCAGTTGGTCCCAGAGGCTGGATCAGGAGAGGCACAGGACGGTGTTTACACAGCAACCAGGACACAGCGAGGGCTCGCCGACCTGCCCAGAGCCGGTGCCAGCGTGGCCTCGGTGGCAGCATTGTCCCCAGGAACAAATGGCAGCTGCCTGAAACACAAACGAAAAAGGACTCTCTGTCCCTGCCCGTGGCCACTGCAGCAGGCGCCGCTCGCGTGGATATAATGGAATTACGGGGAGAAGGAGTCTGGAGCTGGAAGGCAGTTTCTCGTATCTCAGTGGCAAAGGCCAAGGTGGTGGCTGCTGCACAGTCCTGATTACAGCTCTGCAGTTTGGCTACCGTGGCCTGTGTGATCCCTGCCACTTCAGGAACCCTTGGCAACTGTGCCCAGGATCCCCAGGGACACGGCAGAGGCAGATGCATCTGGCTTGGGAGCGCTTTGTGGAAATGGGGTGTTTGGTGAGCCCTGCTGCTGTTCTGCTCTGGAGGCCACGGGTGGATTGCAGCAGCGGGAGCCCAGGAATGAGCTTCCCTGTGCCACCCTTGCCTTGCAGTGCATGGCAGAGCTGGGGGCCCTGGGCTCCCTCTGGAGTGGGAGAGGGAGGAGAGCCTTGAACAAGGCTTGAGGAAAACATCACTGTTCCCCCAGCGCTGTCTACAAGGAACGGCTGAGGAGGGGCTATTAAAAATTAAATTTAAGGAAAAAAAAGAGGGTGAAATGCCTCTTAAATGTCTGTAGGGAATGCTGGGGGCAGTGAAGGTGTGGATGTGGTTTTTTTGTGTTCCAGGCAGGAAGTGTTAGCAAAATGTGGAAAAGCCCTGATAGTCTGTGTGAGGCTGAACCTCCAGATTCCTGTTCCCTGCTGAGATGCTCTAAAATGGGCTGGGATTTGTCCAAAAGATCAGAAATTGGCTAAATCAGCAGCAGTGCTTCTTTTCATAACTCAACTGGATTTCTCTGGCTATTCCCTGTGTCCCCTGGGCAGAAACATCCCTGTTCCTGGGGCAGGGTAACAGGGGCAGCAAGAAGGGACAAAAAGAGAGAGACCACGGCAGGGAGTTGGAAGTCGATGGTCTTCAGGATCCCTTCCAAACCCAAACATTCTGGGACTCTATGAAAATACCACACAAGTCCTGATCTGTTGTTTTTTAGACCCTCAGATGGAGTTTTGTGTTCCTGGTGGGTTGAACCCCTGTGTAAGGAGGGCTCAGCACGAGGTTGTGGCCATTGCAGAGACCAGGATGTGCCTGGCCGGCAATTAGCAGGGAAGGGGGTTAATGAGCAGGTTCTCTGGGTGGAAGCACGAAAATGAAGGGAGAGCCTTGTAATCTAACACAGAGGAGACTCTGGAATCTTGGCATGGTTGGAGAACGGGTTTATTTCCCCCCAGAATTTTCCAGAAAATGACCTGTATGACTGGTGATGGAGTCGCAGCCCGGTTTTTGGAGGCAGCTCCGAGGGGCTGTCCTGGGGAGGGAAGGAGCCCTGGAGCTCACCCCGTGTCCGGTGACTGCAGCCAGCGGGGTTTGGCCCGTTCCATCTCTCGTGATCCTGTGCCGGGGGTGCTGCTGCTGGGGCGGGAGCGGGGCCGATGGCACGGCAGGGAAAAATCCAAAGGTTGTGGAGGGCGGAGGAGCGGGGGGTGCTGAGAGCAGCAGGGGGGTCGGGCTTCCTGCTGAGTCAGCCCGGGAGCGGCGGGAGCACCGGGAACACCGGGAACACCGGGAGCACCGGGAACACCGGGAACACCGGGAGCACCGGGATGGGGATCTGGGACCGGGAACACCGGGAGCACCGGGAACACCGGGAGCACCGGGAACACCGGGAACACCGGGATGGGGATCCAGGGCTGGGAGCACCGGGAGCACCGGGAACACCGGGAGCACCGGGAGCACCGGGAACACCGGGATGGGGACCTGGGACCGGGAGCACCGGGAACACCGGGAACACCGGGATGGGGACCTGGGACCGGGAACACCGGGAACACCGGGAACACCGGGAACACCGGGAACGCCGGGATGGGGACCTGGGACCGGGAACACCGGGAACACCGGGAGCACCGGGAACACCGGGAACACCGGGAACACCGGGATGGGGATCCAGGGCTGGGAGCACCGGGAACACCGGGATGGGGATCCAGGACTGGGAGCACCGGGAACACCGGGAGCACCGGGAACACCGGGATGTGGATCCGGGGCTGGGAACCCCGGGAATCCCGGGATGTGGATCCGGGCTGGCCCCCGGAGGCTCCGGTGGAGGGGAAGCCGCTCCTGCTGCTGCCCGCCCGTGCCAAAGCCTCCGGGCCATGTGGTGCTGAGATCGGGCTTATCCCGAGCCGTGCCGTGCCGGGCCCAGCTGACGCTCGGAAATGTGAGAGCATCCCCGAGCGCTCCGGCAGGAGCAGGGGGGGCCAGAGGGGTGTGGGTGCCCCCCGGGCTTTGCAGCCGTGCCGGAGGAGTTTAATGCTTCGGAGATCCTGGTGTAAATCATTGCCAGGACACGGGATGGAGAAGGGGCTGGGCTGCAGGAAAAGGGAAGGGAGCTCAGGAGCTGAAACATTCGGGCATCACTCGCCCACCTGATGTGGGGACAAACTTTTTACAGGGCCTGCTGTGAAAGGACAAGGGGAGATGGTTTTAAAGAAAAAAAAAAAAAACAAAAACCGAGTAATTTGGATTGGATATTTAGGAAGAAATTCTTCCCTGTGAGGGTGGGGAGGCCCTGGCACAGGCTGCCCAGAGAAGCTGTGGCTGCCCCACCCCTAGGAGTATTCAAGGAAAAGTTGGATGGAGCTTGGAGCAACCTGGGATAGCAGAAGCTGTCCCTGCCCATGGCAGGGGGTGGGATGAGATGAGCTTTGAGGTCCCTTTCCACCCAAACCATCCTGTGATGCTGGGATGAGCATCCAGAGAGTGCAGGAGCTGAGGCAGAGACAGCAGCAGCTCCCTTCCCGGGATGCTGACATCAGGGCACTGTTGGAGCAGCGATAGGAGCAGCTCTGGGAAAGTCAGGAGAGCAGCTAATTCAATGGAGAGATAGACTGGAATAACAAGTCTGCTTTAATCTGATTGCTGGGCTGATGGGTAGCACTGCAATGGATCCGTGAAAAACTTCCAGGCACAGGGGTGACGTGGGAGCTTAAATCCTGCCCACTGCCAGGACTGAGGGGAGCCACAGAGGCTGTGAGCAGGCACAGAGATTTAGACACCACGGGTAGAAGTGACCAGCTGTGTTCTGTGCCCACCGTGGCTGCAGTGCAATTTTCCTGCCCCAAGGCCATGGCAGCTGTTCTCAAATCGAGTCTTGGCTGGCTGATGTGTTTGTGGCGAGGATGGGAGCTCAGCTGGATCATCAGGTGAGGAAAAAACCCCACAGGGCACAAGTGGAGAGCAAAACCTTTGCAAAACCTGTGAGGGCAGAGGCCAGAGCTGGTAGCACCAGTCTCAGGAAGCGCTTGGGTGGGAGGATGGCTCTGGGAATGCTGGTGAGGACGTTTTGGATGCATTTTCCACAGCCTCAAGAGCTGCTCACTAGGATGGAATTAAAGCTGGGCTCAGCAGACCTTCCCCCAGGAGCACACAGAGCAGCAGCCCCGTGCTGGAGCAGGGGATGACGGGCTTGCCCCTGCCTGCCTGTGCCAGCTCCCATCGGACTGGGACCGGCAGCTCCTGGGTGAGTGTCCCAGAGCCCCAGAAAACCATGGGAGACAAGACCCATGTGGGGCAGGGATGTGTCCAGAGGGCTGGGACACCCCTCTGGGAGTCTCCACAGCCAGGCTGGAGCAGAGGCAGTGAGCAGGGAAGTTCCTCTGCAGATTCCTCCTCTCCAGGCTTGTGTGCGTGTCTTTTCCTGCTGCAGCCGCTCTGTTTTCTGGGAGTGCTGTTTTATTCCGGCCCTTGACCCTGCAAACTGGGCGTGCACTCAAGCTGAACAAGCAAACATGGAGCTTTTGTGCTCAGGAAGGTTGAGCTGAAGGGTGTGTGGAGGGTGTATGGATACAGCACCACTGACAGCACAGACCAGAGCCACCTCGAGCCCAACCCAGCACAAAGAAGGCAGGAGGGAAGGAGAGATCCCTGACATGGCACATCCATAAATCTGCAAGGCTCACTGGGGTGGAGATGGGGCAGTTCTGCTGTGAGAATGCGAGCTGCCCACCCAGGGGTCACGGGACCCGAGGCCAGGGAGGCGAGTGGACAGGAGATGTGGCTCTGTGTGTTTATTTTTGGGAACGGAGCACATTTGGTCCTGGTGACATTCAGAGGAGGAGTTCCCACCCCTGGCCTGGCTGGTGGGGAATGTTCATGCTCAGACATCCCGAGGGATGCAGCTGGGGCACTCAACAGCAGCGTGTGTTGCTCCAGGGAGGGCGAGAGCTGGCCTGAAGTGAGCCAGGGCCCATCCAAGGGTTCCCATCCCGGCAGCCCTTGCAGGAGCAGCTGGGGGAAGCCACAGGGTCGAGCTGGCTGGGACAGAGGCACTTTTGGTTTCTGTTCTCCAGGTGTTCCAGGGCAGGCAGCCAGCGCTGTGAGGAGCCCTGCTCCCTCCCAAACAGGGGGAGAGAAGCTGCTCAGCTAGAGATGTGTTTCTGAGCACTTCCACCTTGGTTTGCATTGACAACAGATCTCAAAATAGATTTTTATGGCCTTTCATTGGTGCCGTGAAGCTGTCAGTTATCACACTCCTAAGGACAGGCAATCCAAGCCCTTGGCAAACATCAGTGATTTGTTTTCAAAGGGTGGTGGATGTTACAGCCGAGAAAGCAGCAAAAGGTGGGGATGAGGGCGGCCAGGAAGGCCCCACGTGCCCTGCTCTATCCTGGCATGCAGGATATCCATCCCCAGGCCGGGCAGCGTGAGCTTCCAGTGTCAGCTGGATGGATTGCCGTGGCGGTGGCTGCAGAGCAATATATATTGGATTTTACTGGTGCAGTTTGCCGTGCTCTCACCTCAGCTCTCCCCGTGTCCCCAGATCTCGCCGGCCGGCCGGGGAAGGGGCCGCACGCATGCCAGCAGGGCCCCCCCGCCCCGAGCCATGCGGTGACGCGGGGACAGCGCGGCCCCAGCAGCCATGGCCCAGTCCCGCGCCAACGGCTCCCACTACGCGCTGACGGCCATCGGGCTGGGCATGCTGGTGCTCGGCATCATCATGGCCGTGTGGAACCTCGTGCCCGGCTTCGGGCCCCCCGACAAACCCGGCGGCAACAGCAGCAAGCCCGACCGCGGCTCCGGGGGCATCCTGAAGAGCAAGACCTTCTCGGTGGCCTACGTGCTGGTGGGGGCAGGCCTGCTGCTGCTCCTGCTCTCGCTCTGCCTCAACGTGCGCGACAAGAAGAGGCAGAGCGAGGACCTCGCCATCGCCCACGTGCAGCGCCAGGTGTCTGCGGAGCCCTCGCAGCAGGAGGACAGGTGAGGAGGCGTCTGGGGGACAAAGGGAGCGGGGTTGGGTGTGGGGGTGACACCAGGGGATGTTGTTGTTGTTGTTGTTGCTCGGGAAGATCTGGAGCAAGGAGGGGAAGGCAGCATGTGCTGAAATAAGGAAGCGTGCGCTGTGGTTTCGGGCTCTGGTTTGGCCTGGAGATGGAAAGGAAGGACTCCAGCTGTGTTCATGTAAGTGCTGTTCATGTCAGCCCTGTTGGTGTGTGAGGTGGGCTCTACACAGAGCTGTGGCCAGAGGTGCCACTGCTGTCACAGGAGAGAGCTGGGAGAGCAGCAGGCCTGGGTGACACAGAGCAGGAGGCTCCTGCCAGAGGGGCAGCAGAGGGGCTGTCCCTGCCTCGCTGGGTGCAGCCAAGGTGCCAAACAGCCTCGGGGGCTGGCCATGGAGTTTAGACCCGGTGAAAGTCTGCAGGGCTCTGCTGTTTGCTCAGGAGCTTAGTGGAGCAGAGCAAAGGCCACTGTCACAGCAGGCACAGTCTGGACAAACAGGCGCAGGGAAAGCTCCCTGTGCAGAGAGAGGAGCACTGGGACAAGGGGACAGGAGGGGACAATGGCTCTGCTGGCTCTTGTCAGGGTCTGCAGATCCTCAGAGAAAACTGATTTTCCGTGTTTGATTAGAAAGGTAACTCCAGAATGCCCAAGAAATGGCAAGTGCTGTGTGCAGATACCTGTGTACAGATGGTGGCATAGAGTAGAGCTGAATCTCTTTACAGAAAAACCCGAGGTACCCAACCCAAAAGACATCAGAATGACAGAGGGGTGATGTCCTTTTCTAATTTATTTTGACTGATTTTTGAGAGTGGAGGAGGGAAACTGATGTTCTTTTGAGGGAAGAAATCATTGCTGGGCAATAGAAAAGGGCCTGTGGGCAGAGAAAGCGATGATCAAATATGGCCATAGGTCAGAAGGAAATAAAATGTGTCTGAACTTAGGTGGGGTCTTGATTTATTCTGTCAAGCAAAAGGAAACTGATCCATAATATAAAAGGACAAAGAACTGTTTCTGGTGGGGTGGGGTGGTTTTATTCATTCCTCTCCATCCCCTTCCCACAACGAAGCTGGAATGATTTGCTACCCAGACTTAACTCTTTCCCCTCCAGTCAAGAAGAGGATGAAGACGTCTCTTCCCAATACTACGTGCCCAGCTACGAGGAGGTGATGAACACAGGCTACTCTGAGCCCAGAGATTTGGACAGGAGCAACAGGCTCAGTGTCTCCCTGCCCTCCTACGAGTCCTTGGCAGGGCTGGACGAGAGCAGCCAGGCCCCGGGAGCCGCGGGCGCGGAGCCCGGCACGGAGAGGCCGCCCAGCCGGCACGGCTCCCGCCTCAGCAAGCGCCTCAAACCCCTCAAGGTCCGCAGGATCAAGTCAGAGAAGCTGCACCTGAAGGACATCAGGCTAAACCTGGCACAAGGCAACAGCAGTGTCCCTATCACGATAGAGCCCCTCACCCCTCCACCCAAGTATGAGGAGATCCAGGAGAAAATTCCAGTGAGCCAGCAGATGCCTTAGAAAAAGGAAGAGGAATCTGATGCTGCTTGGTTGAGGGTTTTCTACAACCCACCATGCCAAGAGGGGCTTGGTGTGTGGGTGCAGGAGCAGCCAGGGCTCCCTGGATGCTGCCACGTGGAGGACGTGCTGTGGCACAAGGATGGGACTCATTTTCCCTGGGACTGGGTTTTGCAAAAGACTGTGGGGAAAGAAACCTGAGCACCACAAGTTCTGCTGTGAATTAAATGAAGGCTGGACGTGCCAAACGTGTCACTTGTGGTGTTTGATATGAGACCACCCAGCGCATCCTCTCATCTCCTCTCCCCCTCGCTTCCAGCAGGACTTTTCCAAGCCACCAAACTGATATTGCAGAAGAATTTTCCAAGTGGAAAAGTGAAATGTTTCTTTTTTTGGGTGCCTTTTCTTTCCGAGGAAGGGGAAGTGCGTTGCCAGAGCAGCACCACGGCTTTCCCTGGCTCCCAACTGGGCTGGGCTGGTGGCCCAGGGCCAGCCCTGCCTCCTGCCAAGGTCTCTGCTGGCTGGTGGGAAGCAGCTGAAAGGGCCCTCCTGCTCCTCAGGGAGAGGATGGATTTCTTGCCTCTGCTGCTTTTTCCCTGCTGTGTTTTGTGCCCCATTCGAGGCAATTGGGTGACTCTGGGGGTTGGAGCTGCATGCAGCAGGGGTGAAACCACTGCTGGGCATCCTGTGCAGGCAGACTGGTCTGAATAAATGTTTTGTACATTGTGTGTGAGTGTGTTGTGTACACTGTGTGTGTGTGTGTGTGCCCCTGTGAGGTCTGGGATACACATTCCCACATGTGTCCCCAGCTGATGGGATGGCTGTGGCCACAGCAGAGCTGTGTTGTGCTGCCAGTTGCCTGGAAAAATGAGGGGGAAAAACCCAAAACTAAACAAAGCAAGCAGGAAAAACTCACCCAGGCAGGCAGCAGTGGGCAGTGTACACTCTGTGTGTGTGTGTGTGTACATTGTGTGTGTGTGTGTGTGTGTGTGTGTGTGTGTGTGTGTACACTCTGTGTGTGTGTAAGTTGTGTGTGTGTACACTCTGTGTGTGTGTACACTCTGTGTGTGTGTGTGTACAATGTGTGTGTGTGTATTGTGTGTGTGTGTGTGTGTACACTGTGTATGTTATGTACACTCTGTGTGTGTACACTGTGTGTTATGTACATTGTATGTGTTATGTACACTGTGTGTACACTGTGTGTGTGTGTGTGTACACTGTGTGTGTTATGCACACTCTGTGTGTGTGTTATGTACACTCTGTGTGTACACTGTGTGTGTGTGTACATTGTATGTGTTATGTACACTGTGTGTGTGTACACTGTGTGTGTTATGTACACTCTGTGTGTATGTACACTGTGTGTGTGTGTGTGTTATGTACACTCTGTGTGTATGTACACTCTCTGTGTGTGTGTGTTATGTACACTTACACTCTGTGTGTGTGTACACTGTGTGTGTGTGTGTGTTATGTACACTCTGTGTGTGTGTACATTGTGTGTGTTATGTACACTCTGTGTGTACACTGTGTGTGTTATGTACATTGTATGTGTTATGTACACTGTGTGTGTGTACACTGTGTGTGTGTGTGTGTGTTATGTACATTCTGTGTGTGTGTACACTGTGTGTGTGTCTGTGTGTTATGTACACTCTGTGTGTGTGTACACTGTGTGTCTGTGTGTTATGTACATTCTGTGTGTGTGTACACTGTGTGTGTGTGTCTGTGTGTTATGTACACTCTGTGTGTGTGTACACTGTGTGTCTGTGTGTTATGTACACTCTGTGTGTGTGTACACTGTGTGTCTGTGTGTTATGTACACTCTGTGTGTGTGTACACTTGTGTGTCTGTGTGTTATGTACACTCTCTCTGTGTGTACTCGTGCATGGTTTGCCCTCCCCAAGCTTTGTGCTCCACGGGCAGCCCTGCGTGTGCTTCCAGCAAAGCCACCAGCTCCATCAGCACACCCAGCCACGGGCTCCCTTGGCAGTCTGGGTGGGATGTGGAGGTGGCTTTGCCAGTGGGATGCTGATGTTGGTGTAATCCTGGAATTGTGTAGGTTGGAACAGATCTCCAGGGCCATCAAGTCCAACCCTGAGCCGGCACTGCCGTGTCCACCACTGAGCCACGTCCATGGTGTGGCTCAGCAGAGCCTGGCTTGGTGCTGTAGTTGATACAAGGCATGAGAAGAGTCCAAAACCACACAACAGTTTCTCTTGTCAATTATTATTTCCTATTGCATCTCCTAATTTCTGTTGTTTTGGACAAGGGCAGGGAGTGACAGGTCTAAAGTGAATGGCTTCCAACTGGCAGAGGCTTGCAGAGAAGCTCTACTTTGCCAAATCTGCTGCTTCCACCTCGAAATGAAGCATGATGAAATCTTGCAGCAGTTGGGAAGCCAAGCTGGGGTTTGCTGGTGGCAAGTGTGGGATTTTTCTGGTGCTTTTCTGCTGTAAAAGGGTGTGTGGCAGCCTTTGACCAAGGACTATTGATGGAGAAGTGCTGAAGGGTGACAGCACCCACCTGACAGCAATGTTTATCCCCTTGCCTGAGGTTGCAAACCTGTTTGTGTTTGTGTGATATCAAATAAAAAATAAGGAAAATGGGGGCAAAAAGATTCTTTGGCAGCCCTGGCAAGTGGCAGGGCCCCTGTGAGGTTTGGGATACACATTCCCATGTGTGTCCCCAGCTGATGGGATGGCTGTGGACACAGCAGAGCTGTGTTGTGCTGTCAGTTGCCTGGAAAAATGAGGGGGAAAAACCCAAAACTAAACAAAGCAAGCAGGAAAAACTCACCCAGGCAGGCAGCAGTGGGCAGTGTACACTCTGTGTGTGTTGTGTACACTCTGTGTGTTGTGTACACTCTGTGTGTGTGTGAGCATCCTTGGAGCTGGTGCTGGATGGGGCTACCCAGGTAGGGCTGGGGATGCCCAGGGAAGGTGCCCAGGGAAGGGTTGGATGCTCTGGCCCATGGAAGGATGCCTCAGGGAAGGGTTGGATGCTCTGGCCCATGGAAGGATGCCCAGGGAAGGGTTGGATGCTCTGGCCCATGGAAGGTGCCTAGGGAAGGTGGGTGGATGGATGCTGCTGCCCAGGGAAGGCTCCAGAAGCAGGAACTCGCTCCCAGCTCCTCTGAGCAATCCTCGGAAAGGCGATGGGGGGGCAAACGAAAAGCTGGAGCTCCCTCTGCTGAAGAAACTCGGGCAGTTCGGTGGGGAAAAGGAAAAGCACGGGACAGAGATGCATTAGCAAAGGTAGATCTGAAAAAGTCCTTTCTCTCAATTTGCATTTCATGTTTCCTCCCAATCAACTTACTAAGAGTAAAGTTGGGGTTTAGGTCAAACCTAGAGCAATTGAAAAGTTCCAATATTATTTTTTGTCATTTTGGCTGATGAAGAACTCAAGATGCTGCCCAGCTGAAGCTAGCTGGAGCTGGAGCAGTGAGAATTCCCAAAGGCAGGATGCACACACAATCGAGCCTGTCCATGGGGTGCCTTTTCCCCACTCCAGGCTCTGTGATGCTCCTTTGGAGGGGCAGATTTGAAGCTGCCTGCAGGGAGGGAAGCACCTCGGCTGTGAAGTGTCTGACAAGGGTTGGGATTGCTCCTCTGGAGTCTTGGGGGAACAGTTGTACAGAGGAGCAGCACCCACCAGGGACACTGGCAGGTTTTTGGGCAATCCCAGCTCCACATGAGCAAAAGCAGCAGGGTTGGGATGTGCCCTGGGAGAAGGGAAGGTGCTGGATAATCCCTGGATTAGCAGGGAGCCTGCACTGGGGGCTGGGGCTCCGTTAACAGCCGGGTGTTGGAGGACCCACACCCAGGTCCCACCTGCCCTGGCAGGTGTTTAATGCAGCCCCTGGAACTGAGACCTTGCTGGTGGCTTGTCCCCACTGTCCTGGAAGGCTCTGCTCATCAGGAGAACAGCAGGCTGTGCTCTAATTCCCGTTCTGACAGCTGATGGGAAAACAGGAGCACAGTGAGAGGCTTTGGTTTGTCTGGGAGAAACGATGGGGTAGGACCTTGTGTGAGCTGTGAAAGGAGGGCTGCTGGAGCGTGTGAATGATGTGCAGAATTGGGGCAGTCAGATGGAGAGGAAACAGCTCAAAAAGCAGAAAACCCCAATAACTCTCTTTGTTTCAGCAAAGAGTCTGGATGCCCTGATTAAAATCTGATCCCTGGACAATGGAAATGGGAAAGGACTAAAATTGTGCTTCTGCTGAGATCCGTGCCTGGGTTTTGTACAACACAGTGGGTGTGAATCCAGGGCTGAAATCCTTCCTACAATCCTGAAGATAACGTGGTGTTTTCTCACCATAGATGTCCTGTCCCCCCTTGAAGCGTCGCATAGGGTGGAGCAGGCAGCTCCAGGTGGGTGCAGAGCCCAAAGCCTGGACTCCTTCATCTCCTCTGGGCCTGCCCTCGCTGCAGTGGCAGCTTCCCCCCGGCTCCCTGGGCAGGGGGCCCCCCAGAGCCCCCGGCCACGAGCCCCATCTGCCTCTGCCAAGGCGACCTGCGAGTGCTGGGGCAGGAGCACAGCCAGTGCCACCTCTCTGGACACCTTCAGCACGACCCCTGATGCCAAACCCAGCCAATTGTGTCCTGGTGTCCTCACTCAGTGTTGAGTGGAGTTGATAGTGAAGCATAGATTTTGAAGCATTTAAGATATTAGAAAAGCTAAGGCCTTAATTAAAATTATTTTTTGTTAAACCTAATAAAAAACTAATCCTTGTTAAATTTAATAGAGAGGCACAACTAGAATTAGGACCTAATCATTAGCCAATAACTAATTGTTTTTATAACCTTATATTTGTTCAGCTGGGCTTGTAATGAGAAACATGGAGTCTTGTAAGGAACTTCAAGAACATTAGACAATTGCAAACCAGAAACCAACTGGAAACATGAAATTTGGAACATGTCCAGGGGTTCATTTGCCACTTTGGATTGAAAAGGTAGAAAGGTCAGAATGAGGAAGAGCCATATCCCTTCCTCCCTCCCATGACCCCTACTCATATAAAGACCACTGACCCATTTCAAAGGACAAACTATGCATGATTAATTGCTTTTTTTTCTAATTAGCATAATTAGAGTGGGTGGTAACTGGATTATAAATATGTATTTGTATTCAATATCTTGGAAATAAAATAAATTAAAATAAAATAAATTAAAATAAAATAAATTAAAATAAAATAAATTAAAATAAATTAAAATAAAATAAAATAAATTAAAATAAATTAAAATAAATTAAATTAAAATAAAATAAAATAAAATAAAATAAAATAAAATAAAATAAAATAAAATAAAATAAAATAAAATAAAATAAAATAAAATAAAATAAAATAAAATAAAATAAAACAAAACAAAATAAAATAATAAAATGCCTGTATTCACCTGTAGTCAGGGCTGTGTGAATTAAGGGGTGGCCCTGCCCATCAGCCCAGTGCTGCCAATGAACACACACTCTGTAACCCCAATCAAAGAGTCTTTGTCCTTAATTGTTGGATACTGGTGTCATATGTGGCATCACTGCTCTTTGAGACCACAGTGAGGAAAGCAGTGTGAAACCAAGCTGTGCCCAGCAGGGTTTGAAGTGTGGGGCCTGCAGCAGTGGATGGATATTTTCATCTTCCTTTGATGTGCTCAGAGTGGCACCTGGCATTCCCAACTTCAGAGTTTAAGAGTCATGAGAAATTACCTCAGTCCTGCAGTGAAAGAACATTCTGAATTTTGGGTAAACTGAGCCAGGACTCAGCCTTACCTCACTCAGAGAGAAGGTGAAATACAGGGAAATGCCTCCGAGGTGATTGAGGGACTGGAGCATCTGACATGCTCAGGCTGAAGAGCTGAGATGGTTTAGCCTTGGGAAGAGGTGAAACCTTAATTTACTGATGTGCACAAATACCTGATGGGAGGGAGTAAAACTTTACAGGCTCAGACTGTTCTGGGTGGAAGCCAGTGAAAGAAGAGGCAACAGGCACAAATTAAAATACAAAAAAATGCTCACAGAAATAAGAAAAAATTTTTTCCTACCATGAGGATGGTCAAACACTGGAAAAGGCAGGTCCTGACCTGTCTGCTCAGCTTTGAGCAGGGCATTGGACTGGAGGATCTCCAAAAGTCCCTTCAATGTCAATGATTACATGCTCCAAGTCTGTCTTGGCCTCTCTGACATCAAATCCTGGCAGGGAACCTCACCACCCACCTTCTAAACAAGTGAAAAGCAGGGAACTGTTCACATTTATTTAGGGAAACTATTTGTATTTATTTAGGGAGTGGCAAAAATGCTGGGGGTAGAGGCCACCTTTAAATCTTGTTTGTTTTTTTTTTTTAAATCACCCCAAAAATTCTTGTAATTTGTTCTGATAGCATCCCCTCTTTCAGAAAATAAAATACTTGTTGCTCTTTGAAATGAAACTTGCCATAAATATGTCATTGAAAACTACTGAACTGCCAGTTTCAATTGTTTTTTAAAAAAAATTGTTTAAAAAAAGTTATGCAGCAGAAACTCACCTAATGTATTGTTTCTAAATCTCAGTGTAGCCAATTTTGTAAAGAACAGAACTTTGGCAAGGTTGTATTTTCCACATCTCCACAATTTTTCATATAAGGTAATGTAGTAGGGAGTCAAGCTGCTAATTGCACCTTCAGCTGTTTTATTTTCTACTTCCTCCTTCTTCTGAACAGCAGTTTGTCCACATTTGTGATGTTAGAACATTCTTTTGCTTCTTGTGCCTCTTTTTCTCATGCATCACACCCCTGGGAGAAAGATTTCCAGAATGCAAGAAATAATTACTTTAATTAACAACAGGAAAGGAAATTCAAAGGCTTTAAAGGTGCGGGTAATCTCTAATTTTAGCCATAACAATGCATTTACTGTCAATTTAAAGCTTCTACTTATCCTCCCTTCTAATTAACAACTCTTCTTGTTTGTAATTTTTAGGAATGTCACTGTTACTTGTCTGAAGTCAGAAGCCTTTTTGAAGTCCTAGAAAATGGAACACATTTTAAATGTTCTGTTCATAATTTAATGCCAAGAGACATCAAAACCCATCAAATTTTAGTGCAGCTGCCTGGCTGCTCTTGTCACAGAGAGAACCATGTGAAAGGACTACAAAAAATGCACTAAACAGGCATTAACAACAAGCAGGGCAAGCTGGCACCGACTGCCCAGGGAAGCTGTGGAAGGAAAACCCCTGGAAGTGGCCAAGGCCAGGTTGGAGGGGGTTTGGAGCCAGCTGGGACAGGGGAAGATGTCCCTGCCCATGGCAGGGAGGGCTTGGAAGTGGATGAACCTCAAGATCCCACCCAGACTCAGGGATTCTCTGAGCCTCCCACTGCTGGGATGGCCAAACTCTGCCCAGGGACAGCTGCAGCTGGGGGAAAGCCTCTGGGTTTTTGTGTGTGCACCTGAAAGAGGTGCAGGATGGAAGGGATGAGATGAAGAGAGGAAGGAGAGACAAAGAGAAAAAAAGTGAGATAAGAAGAAACAAAAGACAAGAGAAAGTAAAAGAGGCAAAGCAAAGAGGAAAGAGAGGGAAAGAGGGGAGAGAGGTGAAGAGAAGGCGGGACAAGGGGACAAAGTTGGGCAAGAGAGAGGGAGAGAGACAGAGAAGCACAAAGAGGGGAAATGGGGTGAGAGAGAGGCAGAGGGACAGGGAGAGACCCTCACAAAGACAACACAAAACAAACAAAAAAGAGCAAATAACACCAAAGAAAGATGGGAGCCAAAGAGGGAAGAAGCAAATCGTTATTACAACTGTGGTGACTCACCTTCATTTCAGTTATACTTCCTCAAATATATTTCTGTACATTTGAGAGAACACAGTTTTACATCGGTTTCAACGCAGATTGATACAAAACCAAGGACAACTCTACAAAATGCAAAACACCCTTGGACAAAAGTCTGTGCAAGTACAGAGCTTTAGAATGAAATACAGGTGACAGAACAAATAACATGACCCTATATAATTTCAATCTCTCAAAAACCTAATTACTTTAAATACACATAAATAAAAAATAAATAATATATAAATAAAATAATAATATAGAAATTATACATTTTTTAAAAAGCAAGTACATAAGGGCAAGACACATTTTCTACACAAGTACAGGACAAATGCAATACAGCTACAGAATAAAAATGAATACACAAAGCTATGCAATTCCTGACCAACACGGGGCCATACAAAACTGCAGAACATAACCTAAGCACAACCATAACCCGAATCCACAATCCTAACCCTAAAACCTAACACTAACCCTAATCCCTAACACTAAACATAATCCCCAACTAAAATCCCCAAACCCTAACCTTAAACTAACCCTTAACCCTAAACCCTACTCCTAACCCAAAAGCCTAATGGAAAGCCCTCCCTTTTTCCCCTAACCCCACACCTGAACCCTGAACCCCAAACCCAAACCCCAAAACCCAAACCTCAAACCCCAACCCCCAAACTCCAACCCCCAAAACCCAAACCTCAAAC